GCCCCAAGCATATGAAGACTTCCCCAACGGAATGGATGGATGAGAAAAATTTGTTCCAATGGCCAGGAAGGCAGCTGAAACAGGTTCTGTAGAGCTTAGAGAAGACACTAAGTTACTGCATCCCAGTCACTAGCTGTCTTGACTTTTGTCTTGCACTGGATTCCATGACTCTGGAAGACAGAATGAGACTGATGACCATGTTCACTTAAATCCAATTCATACACAAGTCAACACAGCATTCATTACCCCATGATGTTATTGGTCCTCTTCAAAAATGAAGGAGGAACAACAATAACAACTTGAAGACACAGGTTGCGTCCTCAGAAGTTGGCTGCTACCTGGGATCTAGGATTTATATAATTTGTCTCCACCTTTCAATGTAACTTCCTTTCTGGGTTACTCCCCTAATTAGAACTTATGTCTGCAGGTTGAGCTTTTAAAAAGAGTGACTGTTTCCTTAGGCCCTAGTGGTAACCCTGTGGAATTACCCTTCTGAAACTATAATTCATGAAGTCCTGCCAGGGAAAGAATGCAAATAATTATGCCAGTAGACTCAATGGCATAGCAGGAATGATAGTTACGAAGCATTTATCCCCCAAACATGGGCATACTCTCCCACATATATAGACTATGTCCAAGGGGAAAGTGAACATAAGCATAAAGTATAATAGTAGAGAAGCACATGTTGCCAAGGACAACTCATCACCGCAGACTGTAAGGCCTCAAGGCTCTTTCATTCTTTGTAGAGTCCAGGTGAAGTTCACTGCTGGGGTGTTGCACAGGGCGGGACTCAGGGAGGCCTCTCCTCACAGGGCACATGCAGCATCTCTGCTGAATAGGTCAGTTCACTCAACCCCTGGGGCTTGATCTGTGATAGACATCTCTACTACCTCCAGCTTCAATCTTTTCTGCAGTTCTGCTGGGACAAAGACTCTTCAACTAAAACTGGTAGAAGTCTCCCTAGATCTCCTCCTTTAGGCACTCAGCTATGGGGCAGGAGGTAGGAAATCAGAAGTTTGCCTTTCCTTTTTTCGGTGTTTCCTGGTTGAGGGCTGGGTCCCTTCAGTAATAGGGGACCTCACCTTAACTTATATTGATGATCCATTATATTTTCCAAATCTTCCTTTCTGTAGACTAGGCCATAACCATACAATGTCCATCAAATGACTTTAGAGTTCAGGGTTCTCTGGTTTTTGTGTTGTGTTTCAGGTCAAGTCAATAAACTAACAAGAATTTATTAAATGTCTACCCTGGAGACCGGTACTGTGCTAAGTGCTAGGAATACAAAGAAAGGCTCAAAAAAGCCACCCTTCAAAATAGTCCCTGACTTAAAGGAATTCACCACCTAATGGGGAAGGCAATATTCAAATAAATTGGAAGTAGTAGCATTAAGGGGAACTGGGAAAGGCTTCTTAGAGAAGGTGAAATCTTATTTGTTGTTCAGTTGTATCTGACTATTCATGACCCCATGGGACTGTACTGTCCATGGGGTTTTCTTTGCAAAGATTCTGAGTGGTTTGCATTTTCTTCTCCAGTGAATTAAGGCAAACAGAATGACTTGCTCAGGGTTGCAAAGCTAGCATGTTTCTGAGGCCAGGTCTTCCAGACTCCAGGCCCAAAGTTCTATCCACTGAGCCATCTAGCAGCAGGGATATTAGCTGATTCTTAAAGGAAGCCAGGGAAACTAGGAGGTGTAGACAAGGAGGGAAAGCACATCAGGCGTGGAGAACAACCAGGGAAAATTCCCAGTCAGGAGTGTCTTGTGTGATAAATAGCAAAGAGACCAGTGCCACTGGATCTTAAAGTATGCAGAAAGAATTAAGGTATAAAAAAACAAACAAACAACAAACTAGAGAAGCCTTTATTGTTGTTGTTGTTGTTTATTGTTTGTCCTTTGTTCTAGAGAAGTGTTTAAAAGCCAGAGAATTTTATAATTGATATATTTATTTTTTATGTTGCCATAGGTTATATATATATATATACATATATATATATATATACATATATATATATATTTTTTATACAATTCATATATATATATGTATACACACACACACTCACACACACATACACACACACACATATACGAGGGTGTTGTGAGGCTCAAATGAGGTAATAGATGTAAAGCATCTTGCAAACCTTAAAGCACTATATAAATGTCTGTTAATTATTATTAGCTGAGTTATTAGCCTCTACTTTGCAGACCTCTAGCCCAGCGATGACTTAATTCCCTGAACCTTCTACTGCACTCTTTCCTGCTGAGCTGAAGCAATGTTTATAGAGCAATACAGGGATGTGCTGGTAAATATTTAACGACTATGCTCTCTGGGGGGAAAAAAGTATGCACACACTTTTAATTTTAATCTGCATTATTAATACATTCTTAAGTCTAGAGAATTAACAGAACAATAAATCAAGCTCTGATTTGTAGGAATTGCCAGTTTCTCAGGTGTAAATACTAACCGTGAAAATTTTGCAATTGGCTGGTAGAGCTGGCTCTAGCACACCTTTGATGTTAAATTTGATATGTTCTTCTGTTGGTCTGTACAAATGAGTGGCTAAGGAAAAGTACAGAGGCAGTCTTTGTCCTGTGGGCTCTCAGATCTTCTGTGTCCAAAGTTACAAATGTTCTCTTAATTGCCAAATCTGAAGGTCTTTTCTCAATCCTGATCCTTCTTGAGCTGTCTCCTGCATTTGACTTTGTTGACCTTTGTTAACCACCCTTTCTTCCTGGAAATTCCCTCTTCTCTAGGTTTTTGTGACACAATTCTCTCTCACTTTGCCTCCTACCTGTATGACTTCTCAGTCAGCTCTGTTGGCTCATCATTCAAACCACACCCCATATCTGCAGATGCTCCTCAAGGTTCCATTTTGGACCGTCTTCTTTTTTCTATCTGTAATCCTATGGTAACCTCTTCTGCTTCCATGAGTTAAACCATGTAGATGACTCCTGGATCTATATATCCAGCTGCAATCTCTTTCCTGAAATTAATTACCATATCATCAATTGCCTACTTCCATATTTCTGTAGAAGGCTGTATCATCCTTCTTGTCTCCGAGGTTTATAATTAAGGCATTATTCTGGTCCTTTCACTCTTCCTTACTCCACAAAGCCAAAGAATTGCCAAATCTTACTGTTTCTACCTCAAATCTGGCCTTTTCTCTCTACTTATACAGTTACCACCTTAGCTCAAATCTTTACCCACTCTTACCTAAATTATGACAATAGTCACCTAATTGATCTCCCTGCCTCTCAAGTCTCTCCCTGCTGTAGTCACCCTTCACATTGCTGCCAAAGTAATTTTCCTCAAGGTCAGATATAAGCATGTGACTCAGCTAACTCCACTGGCTTTTTATTGCCTCTAGGAGAAAATATAAACCCTTGTTTTTAGTTTTTAAAATCTTACATTACTTGCTTCCAACCTATCTTTCTAGCTTGTTTACTGATCCTCCTTCCCTCTGTGATCCAGCCAAATTGTCCTTCTCTGTACCTCCTACGTGACACTCCGTGTCTTGTCTTCATGCTTTTGCACTGATCCTCCCATTTGCCTGGAATGTACTCCCTCCTTATTTCTGCCTTACAGCATACTGCTTTTCTTTTAAGATGCTTAAGCAAGACTTGCATCAAGCCTTTCCTGATTCCTTCCTCCTCTAACTGCTAGTGCCCTCCTCCCCAAATTACTTTACATTTAACTACTATGTATATATTTGTATTAATAACTTTATATTTATGCTATGCATATTTTATATGTATTTGTTATCTCTCCCATTAGAAGGTAAGCACATTGTGAGTAGATATTGGTTCATCTTTTATACTTGTATCCTAAGTGCCTGGCATAATGCCTTCTCCATTCTGTTTTCCAGCTTTTCAGGGAAGCTAGAGATTCAGTGACCTCTCTTGACATAACTGTTAATGTTTTTTCAGTATGTTAATGGTATTCAAAATGTTTTACATTTGGTTGTACTTTTGTTGTGTTGGCCGTATTCACAGCATGTACTATTGTGTTCAAGTCCAGAAATGTTTTTATACTTTCCTGGTATTTGTTTATTATGGTTACAATAGTATTGCCACTTTACAATTATACCTGTCTCATTTTGCCTAGGGGGTCATCAACTTGATTTTTTGTTATTTTTATTTGTTGTAACTGTAATTTAATATTATTTATTTCCTTTGAAACTTTATATATTTTATTCTATATATTTAAAAGTGTTATTCTGAGAAGGGGTCCATGGCTTCACCAGATTACCAAAGGAGTCCATAACACACATAAAAAAGGTTAAGAACTCCTTAAAGCTCTTAACTTAATAGCCAGAGGATCCCAAGGCATACATACTTATAGAATTTATAGTCTCATATATTCTAGCAAGTAAGAGGCTATGTTACAGTTTAATTTGTTCCATAGCCTTGGCGATTTTTATTGTTGTTCAATTGTGTTCAGCTCTTTGTTATCCCATGGGCCATACTGTCCATGGGATTGTCTTGGCAAAAATACTAGGGTGGTTTGCCATTTCCTTCTCCAGTGGATTAGGTAAACAGAGGTTAAGTGACTTGCTCAGGGTTACACAGCTAGTAAGTATCTGAGATAAAATTTGAACTCAGGTCTTCATGACTCCTTGGAGGCAGCTAGGTGATTCAATGGCTCTAGGCCTGGAGTCACAGAGACAGCAGATTATGGATGACTGAGATTTTTTTTCCCCTTTGTCTAGAATATTAGGTAAAAGTAAATTTGAATTCCAGTATCTTTAGGGGAATCTTCTATTCGGTCTTGTGAAGTAATCTAAAATTTTTCTCTAGTGATACATAAGAAATGAATTGTCCTATAAATTATTATAGCAAATAAAGAGTCTGTTTGTCAGACTATTAGTGCTAGTATTAGAAGTATAAAAATCAATGACAATATAAAAGTGTAATTTTAACCATTGCTAGAAAAAGTCTAGGTAACAATGACTTTTTTAAGGTACATATTTAATGGCTTTTTCATTTTCTTTCCCTCCATCAGACGTTGCTTCGACCTCTTCAAGCTTTGTGCTCTTTCCAGCTTCAGCATGGTGCTCAGATTCGTCTCAGCAAGGAACACCTCTTGAAAAACGGGCTATATCCTAAGCCCATGCCAAAGAATAAACGCAAACTAAGAAAAATGGAGCTCTTAATGAATAGTGTCAAAATTTAGGGAAATTATCCTTGTGGTGTTAGTATACATACATATATATTCATTTGCAATTTACAACACCAAGTACATTTTTCAGCCTACAAATAGTTCTGTGAGTTGCTAACTGACTCAGCAAAAGAACTGAGAGAAATTATACAAGAATCTTGTCCAGAGGTGGGAAATGAAACAAATATTGTTTTGTTTTTTCTTAAGAAAAAGTGATAATAACATTAAAAGGCTTGATTTTATTTTTCAAAACTTTTATTAATTTTTACAACTCCTGTAATGAAAAAGTTAGTTATTATTCTGGATTAACAGTGTCTGTTCAAGAAATTACCCTTTATAAAAAGAAGAAAATTGTTACAACTAATTAAGGCAATATTGTTTTAGATAACTGTACATTTGGTAAAGATTCAGCAATGGTGAAGACCTGCATCAATTTTTCACTTTTGTATGGGAACTTTATAGATGTTGGTCAGTAGCTTAAAAGCAAACAAAATCAAGCAAATTATAGCATTAAAATCTGTGCATTTTTATTTTAATAAAAATTGTAACACAGTAAGGAAAATTCATTTTCCTGCTTCGAAACTTTGACATAGTTAATAGTGGGATTTAAGTACTTTCTTATTGGGAGAGACTATAATTTCATATTTTAGGGTTGCATATAGTTTTGAAAATTAATGTATATTTTCAGTTGCAGGCATTCTCAATGAGAAAGTTTCTGTTTTTCATAGTTCTTAGATTTGTTGCCTGACAATAAGCCATGTTTTGTTGAAATTTTCATAAGTAACAAAACTAGAATAAAAAACATACAGTACTCTCAGTGCCATTCTTATGGAATAACATGCATAGCAATTAGGATCATTGAGATATAAAGGATGGAATTTTTTTTTAAATCTAAGAGAAAACTCTGTAAGTAGAAAGAAGTTAAATTCTACAACTTTGGGGAAACATTTGTGAAATTTCATAGAGAATATTTGAACTACGTGTTTTGTGAATTAAATATACCACTTAGATAGGCCATTAGAAGAAACGTTTATGTGCACATTTATAGGTAACATAAATCATATGCAAAGGCATGTGAATTTTGACAATAAAACAACATTGTTTTCTTGTTTCTGCAAGTTATGAATAAGCTTGATTATTAGTGCTTGAGTCTATAGAATTGCTTTGCTATTAGTAGATTTTTCCAATAGCCCTTCCTTACATTGAGCATTTAGGATTATATACTTTATTATAAAAGCATATAAAATGTATGAAATGTATTTTATTGCCACATATTAGTGTATTTGAAGATTTTTTAAAGAAGACATATCTTTTACTTTATTTTTAACTGTCTTTTGTGTGTCATGTAGTTGTCACCATTTGCCATTGAATAATTATAGTAATTTTGATATAATGTAGCATCATAGAGAAAAATGTGTAGATGTATGCTTTCTGAAGATTGCTGTATCATTTAACTTGGTTTCTTATAATATTAAAGGGCCACAAATCTTCACATTATTAAAAAAACATATCAGAGAATTTGGACTTATCCATTAGAGAAGTAGATAAGCTACTTTCTGGGAACTAGTAAATGAATTAAAATGTTTAGATAATTTATATTCCTATATTCAGTTGTACAGGTTTTTATTATATGATGGATTAAAGATATTAAAATCTGTAATAAATTGAAATGCAAATTAGGAAAAAAATACTAGAATTCCACAGTTTATAATAGTGTGTGTTCCCCCTCACTTAAGGCTGAATGACCACTTGTTTGGTTAGTTGTAGAAGGATTTTTTTTTCTTTATATGAATTATATTAGATGGTCACTGAAGTCCTTTCCAATTCTGAAATTCTGAGTTTGTGAAATATATTTGAACATGAGAGGCATTATACCTCTAGACTTTAATTTTCTTCACCATCGTTAAAAACCTTTAAATCATCAGCAACCTTAAGCATTTCAGCACGATCTCAAATTTTTTTCTAGTTAATAAAATGTTCAGTAACCTCTCCTCCTCTAACGTTTATTCACCCTATATAAATTTATCACCCAATCTAGGCCCTGGTGGCCCTTATATACCGATCCACAGGGAGTTGTCCCTCTTTTCTAAAATGTGGCTCAAGATGTCTCTTTCCACTTCAGTTCTTTCCTTCACGCTAAAGGACTTCAGTATACAGGTTGATGTTCCTCCAAATACCCTAACTTTTCAATTCACAACCTGTTTAACTACCATAACCTGGGGGTCATACCTTTGATCTTGCCATCAATCACTTGTCTTCTACTTCCATAGCCAAGGACTCCAAAATTCCTTTCTTATCATAATCTATCATTCTCCCTTTACCTTACTACTCCTAATTCTATCCTGTACTATGTCCCTCCATCCCTCAGTATTTTCTCAGGCCATCATTCTTCTTGTTAGCCCATTTCCCTCCCATTCAACCCTTTCAACTGAATTCCTCCCTTCTTGCTTCACCAAAACAAACAGGCTCTTTGCCATGACCTGCTTCTTTCCTCTTCTCTTCATCCCACATTCCTCTGACATCATCTTCCACTTCTCTTTCACTCTAGTCAGATAAAGAGGTGGCCCATCTTGCCAAAACCAATCCTATTCATTTATCATCTATCTTATCCCCTCTAAACCTCTCCAGCGTATTTCCCCCATTATCATCCTTTCTTCACATCTATTGTTCAATCTCTCCCTATCATCTGGGTCCTTCCCGGTTGCTTATAAACACATCCAAATCTCCCCATGCTTAAAAAAATCCTCATTAGATCTACTATCCCTTTTAACAACTAACCTACAGTATATCTCTTCTGTCCTCAGCTAAACACCTTGGGGGAAAAATTAAAAACCACCTACACTTAGTGGTCTTCATTTTGCTTCCTCTCATTCTCTCCTAAACACTCTGCAACTTGCTTACAATCATGTCATTCAACTAAAAATGCTCTCCCAAAAATGACCAATGACTTCCTAATGACCAAATCTAATGCCCTTTCTTAATCTTCATCCTTGCTTTCTTTGCAGCATTTGACACTGTTGACCACCTTCACCCCTGAATATTCTCCCCTCCCTGGGTTTGGTGCTTTATTTGCTATTAGAAATTTTAGTGTACCAAAGGAGGATTTATCCTTTTCTCAAATCTACAGGCACTCTGATTTTTCATGATATTGCTCTCTCTTAATTTTCCTAGGCAGCTAGGTGGCTCAGTGTAGATAGAGCTCTGGGTGTGGTGTCAGGAAGACCTGAGTTAATATCTGGGCTTAGACATTTATTAGCTGTGTGGCCCTAGGCAAGTCACTTGACCTCTCAGCCTCAGTTTCCTCAGTTGTAAAATGGGATAATAGTAACTAATTACTAATCACAGGTTGTTGTGAGGAGCACATGAGATAATATTTGTAAAGTACTTAGCGCAATACCTGGTATGTGGTAGGCATTATATAAATGATTGTTCCCTTTCTTTTCCCACTTCCTACTACTGACCTCTCTTAAGTTTCCTTTGCTACATTTTCATCCATGTCATGCCCACTAACTATAGTTGTACACCAAGGTTCTCTCTTGGGACTTTATCTCTTCTCTCTATACTCTGACACCACAGCTCCCATGGATTTAATTATCATCTATTAATTTGATTCCCAGCTCTATATCCAGCACCAGTCTCTCTCCTGAACTCCAGTCCCATATCACCAACTTACCATTGGACATTTTGAGCTGGATATCCTCCTGTAGGTGTCTCAAACTGAACAAATCCAAAACAACTTACTATCTTTTCCTCCAAATCCACTTATATTATGAACTTCTCTGTTACTGTCAAGCACTTCCTATCCTTCCAATCCCAATCCAATCTATCCTATTCATAGATGCCAAGTTGATTCTCCTAAAACACAAGTCTGGTCATGCCATGCAATCAGTGAACTCCAGAGCCTCCCTATTGACTCTAGGATCAAATATATACTCTTCTGTTTGGCATTTAAGGCTTTTTACAACCTTCCTCTCTTTCTAGCCTTCTTATACGTTGTTCCCCTCCACACACTCTATGATCAAGCCAAACTGGCCTTTTTACTGTCTCTCCCGCACAGCATCATCACTGTGCCTCTGCCTAGGCTCTCACATGCCTGGATATTCTCCTTCCTCCCTCTCCTACACTTTTAGAATCTCTAGGTTCTTCAAGACTTAGACTAAACATCTCAGTCTTCAGAAGGCCTTTATTGGTGGATCATCCCCCTTCCCATGTTAGTGCTCTCTGCTCTAAGTTACCTGGTATCTTCCCAGTATCTTGTAAATACCTTTTTACCTACTTATATTCTACTCTGTTAGCATGTAAACTCCTTGAGGATGTAGAGCATTTTCACTTTTCCTTTGTTTCCATAGTAAGCACTTAAATACTTATATATACTGAGAATATTAATGTAGCACTGATGGGATGATGTGATGAGCAGGGTTGTTCAACCATTTTCTTTGTCCCCCCAGTCTAGTAATGACTCATTGTTTAAATAACAAAGCAGTGCAAGGCAAGAAGCATTTATTAAGCACTTACTCTGTTTCAGTCATTTTGCAATATAAGCAAAAAGAAACAGTCTCTGCCCCCAAGGAGCTTACAAACTAATAGCAAAGACTACACACAACAGTTAGCTGGAAAGAGGGTAACAGGATTGTGAAGGTACCTAGCTGAAGTGCATGGTGTTGAATTTCAGAAGTGCACCTGGGAAAGGAATGGTTTGGCCTGCCTGGTTTCTCCTCCAAATGGAAGCCCTGTGGAGAACTCACAAATGAGAAAGGGAAACTGGCATATCAGAAGGAATGGTAAGAAGACTCACTAGATGAGTGCTCAGGGTTAGACTGCAGAGCCTTGATAATGAAATCTGGAAAATCAGAAGTATAGCCAGGAGGAAAATGAAGATTGGGCTGGGTCTCTCTTCAAAATAGAGACCCCAGAAGAATTTACCAATTTGAGAAGGGGCAGCAGAGCGGAGGTACTGATGGATGTGGCAGGGTGAGATCGCAGCTCCAGCAATGAGGTCTGTAAAATCAGAAGCACAGAAGGGGTTTCCAGTATAAATACTTTTTCCTCTCTCTGGGCAGTAGTAACAAAAGTGTCTATAAATCTCACTATTTTTAGATCTGAGTCCCTAACCAGAGTCAGAAAACTCTGGCAAAATATAAAATTCCTCTCTTCAGGGATGCACCCTTCCATTGCTTCCTACCAACTGCATCTCTAACAAACACCCACATTAGTAAATGCCATTGTTTGTGAAAAAACCCAAAAGAAATATTTAAAACAAAAGGAGGTAAAATCCCCCCATTTCCAAGGTAAAAAACTTCAGTTTCTCCTGAGGGAGCCTAGCGGATGAAAATTGCAGAATATTACCTTTGAGTCTGTAATTTAGGGGGGTTTCAGCAATACAATTTATAGTGACTATCCAGTTTATTTCTTCAAACTTATCCCTATAGGTTCCAGGGATGGGGAACCTGCAGCCTCAAGGTCCTAAAGGGCAGCTCTTTGACTGAATTCAAACTTTACAGAACAAATCCCCTTAATAAAAAGATTTATTCTGTAAAACTTGTACTCAGTCAAAAGGCCGCACTTCAGGACCTATAGGGCCACATGTGGCCTTGAGGCCTTAGGTTCCCTATCCCTAGACTAGGGCATAGCCAGTCAATGTCCATTTACTTTATAATCACCAAAAAACTCTTAAAAAAAACCATACACGCTTTTCCAGTTGATCTGTACAAATGAAATGGTAGGGAAAATGTACAGAGACAATCTATGCCCTAGTGGGTAAGTCCAACATTTGTGCTAGAGACTCAGTTCCTTTCCTGGAATTACTTAAAGTTTCGCATCTTTTATAAGGAGCAAATGAGCCTACTCAAAGTTTTATATCCTTCACAAGGTATGAAATTCATTCGAATCTGAAGTGAACTCATCTTTACAAGGTAAAATGCAATCTGGTTTAACACACCCTTTTACAAAATATGTGTCCAGATTTCTTGTGGATGTTTGGAAGATTGAGGTCTATATACTCTCCACAGACCAGTAGGCATAAGCCTCAAATTCCAATTCCCTTTCAAGAAAGTTCCTACACAAGATGGCTATGAGATTACGACTACATAACCAAGTGTTTACACCTATTTCCC